AGTGTGTAAATAACTTAAATAACTCAAACGCTATAGCAAAGGAAGTAATCAAAGGATTACATTGCTGGATACTGCCAACTAAAAATAGTAGTTTAACCAAATCCAAGAGATTTGTGTGAGATACGGATTTTGATCTCACATTTTGGCGACGACGACAGGACCACAATCTTCAGGATAGTCTTCATACTACCTGGAATAGAGTATTGTGGTCACCAACCTAATTAAAGGGCAAAAGCAAAAGACACATAAGTCAACACGGAGTATCCAGTGGAGGAGTTTCAGACCCAAACAGGGGATTATAAATTATTTGAAGACACTGAGTCAGAACCATCAGAAGTAACAGATTCTGAGCTTATTCAATTTAATCTTTCAGAGACTGACGTAGATTGCATGTCAGAAGAAGAAACCGCAAACCAAGTGATACAGGAAGATTTGATAACTTTAAAGGAAGACAATAGTAAACAACCAGAGGTAACCCCTTATTTGATTTTTTGTGAATCTAGTTATACTTCCGGAGGAGGAAGTAGCAAAATAATTGTCGAAGAAGAGTCAACTGAGAATCATCAAGAAGAGGATACAGAGGGTAAGCAAGAAACTACAGAGGAGGAAAACGAAGATACAGACCCAAACCCTACAGCCTCAGACCAAGAAGAAGGTGACGAGACAACAGAAAGTCTAGCAAAAAAATTAACAGAATTTGAAAACAAAACAAATCAGGAACCTGTTGAACCATACGAAATTTACTCAGACCAAGAGTCGGATACCTTGTACGTTCGACATACATCAAGCAGTGAAGAAGCAAGTCCAGAAAAGAAAAGTAAAGAGAAGGAGGTAATCTCAAAAATAGACACAGAAGATTCAGACAAAGAAATTCAAATACCTAGTCCAACAGAATCAATCAAAATGAGCACCATGACAGCAATGGATGCAACTCAGACAACTGGTAATCTGTCTAATATATTTCAAGGAGTAGCGGCTATGGCCCCTTCTACAACCAGTGGATCAACTGGAGGATATGACATACTGGAGACATTAGGATTGAAGAATCTTTTTCAACCACAGTGCTGGGCGAAGAACTGTAAAAATCCGGTTAATGCCGAAAACGAAAAATGTTACAGTTGTAGTGGATGTGCTAACCAAGGATGTGGAGGACTAGCATTTGGAGTCAGAAAATGGTGTAGCTCTTGTCGAGATAAGTGTAAGGTACCTATGTGTCGAGATAATAGAGTAATTGGGAAACCTAATTGTGAAAATCATAGTGAGGAAGGACCAGCACCATGTGCATGGTCTGGGTGCCAGCAACCTGCAAAGGAAACAGGGGATTTTTGTGCAGAATGTCAGGAGAATGTAGATAAGATGTGTGAAACCTGGCAATGCTTTGAACCAAAATGTAGTGAGTCTGCACAATATTGTCGAGGGTGTTGGGATAAGGAGTATGATGAGGCAAAAAGACGGCTACAAATGTCTCCCATTCAAGATCCAAAGCAAACTAGCTCCAACTTGACTTCCGGATCAGGAGTCAAGGAAGTACCATTAATAACTGTTCAGGACCAAAATGGAAGTGGCTCTGGTTCAACCACAACTGGGTTAGGAAGTAAGGAGAAGACAACACATAACTGTCTTATGGATGAATGCAAAAAAAGGGTAAACGAAAAGGGAGAGAAGTGTACTGACCATAAGTATTGTGGACATGTAGGATGTAAGGAAGAAGCACCATTTGCGTTTAGGTATTGTAAGAAGTGCCAAGCCTGTTGCAGAGCAGATGGATGTTTCAATGCAAGGGAATGGAAAAGAGCTTACTGCAAAAGTCATTTAACCACAAAAATAGTGCCTTGTTCTATAGTTTACTGCAAAAAGGAAACAGGAGACCAAGCATGGGAATTTTGTAACGAATGTCTCAAGGGGCTAATTGAGATAGGGGATATGACAGGGTGTGAGGCATGCCAAACTCCAAATCCATCTTGTGTGGATTGTCGCCATATAGAATGTCTACAAGAATATAATGAGATAAGGAAAGAGGCTTTAAAGCCCAAAAATGTAACCTTTGACATCCAGAGTTCTAGCTCGACCATAGCAGGATCAAGCACAACAGGTGGACCAAAACCTATCCTGAGAAACAACACAACTAATATAATTAGTAGCATAAGCCCAACATCCGGAATTAACTCTAGTTTCTTTGGTAATGCAAGTTCAAACTCAAGAGGAATTAGTAGCTTATTTAGTACAAATCCAAACTCAACTCGCATTTTACCAATAAGAACTGGAGGGGGATTTGGGGGAGGCTGGAATAATCCACCACCAGTTAATAATAATCCACCACCAGTCAATAATAACCCACCACCAGTAAATAATAATCCACCACCAGTTAATAATAATCCACCACCAGTCAATAATAACCCACCACCAGTAAATAATAATCCACCACCAGTTAATAATAATCCACCACCAGTCAATAATAACCCACCACCAGTAAATAATAATCCACCACCAGTTAATAATAATCCACCACCAGTCAATAATAACCCACCACCAGTAAATAATAATCCACCACCAGTTAATAATAATCCACCACCAGTCAATAATAACCCACCACCAGTAAATAATAATCCACCACC